AGATATCTATGTTTGGGTTGTATTCACTGTCCATAATTGTAAATGATCAAATGAAAAGCTTCAATTTTTACATTAAAATCTAATGTCATTTGATAATGTAGCAATCCCTAGGGGAATGCCCAGGACCTTAGCCAGAATGTATGCTGCATGGGAGCAGCATGTGCAGCAGTCAACAGTCATTGTGCAATTATGAATGTGCAAACTGAGAATGTAAACAGTACATCACGTATTTCCTGGTAATAAACTCCTTAGCTGTTTAGGAGTCTGATGGCAGAGGGAAAGAAAGAGTTTTTCAGTGTTTTTCAGTCAAACATGTTAGTAAGTACTTTTTTCCTAGCAGCATAGCTGTGTCGTTAGCTAGCAGCTAATGGCTGCTTGCACTGTTAAATAAAGACAAACATGCTTGCTCACTTCATCTTGTAAAATATACTAAACATAATACAGCTGCAAACCACATTTACCATCAGCTGAAATTCCTCCTCATTATTTCTCATGAAAAATAATAAGAGAAACCTTCTCCCACTGAGCTTCTGTCTGTGGCGTCCCAGCAACTACAGCTGTTGGCTAGCCAGGGCACGTCACTTATGGCCTGACCTCAAATAAAAGGTCATCAGGTGATGTAGACTGACTGATGGCAGCCAGGACAATTTATTTATAAACTATTATTAACTGGTGAATGTTCTTCTTGGCTGAGAGGCAGGCCCCATCTTTATTAAGTTTATTATTAGGTTTTTGGTCAACAAGCAAAATTAGAATAGCAATTATTTTACACAAAAAAAGCATGAAACATAAGCGTACATACATCCATTTGAACAAAAGCATGTATGCACACATACATAATCATACAAAAATAAAATGAAATAAATAAAAACAAAATATTTACTGACCAAAGGTGCAGGCTGAAGCTAAAGCTTATTATGTCTACCCTTACTCCACACAAGCAGCACTAATGGACATAAATTTAATATAAAACATATTGAGTATTCTGAATATATATTTTTAGAACATGCATTATGATTATTATTATTATTGAGTATTATCTTTTTATTGCCATTCTTTTATACAGTATTTTAATCTGTGGTAATGAAGTAGCCTTTTTTTATTTCATCAGGAAAACTATTCCACAACTGAACGCCTTTATTAGATGAGCAGTTACTACTTAATTTGGTTCTACAATATGGTTTGTTAAACATATATGTCCCTCTAAGGTCATAATTACTTTCCCTTACACTGAACATAGTTTGCAAAGACTGAGGGAGGGTTTGTTGTTTTGCCTTATAAATATGTTTAGCAGTACACAAGTCTACCACGTCATAAATTTTTAATGTTTTCAACTGAATAAACAAAGGATTTGTTGGGGTATTATATGGAGAATGTGTAATTAATCTGATGACCTTTTTTGTAATAAAAAGACTGCAGTAGTTCTAGATTTATATGTATTTCCCCAAATTTCTACTCCATATGTTAAATATGGAGTGATGAGAGAACTGCATATAATGCATTTTGTTCAAAATATATTGTACTTTATACAATATTGCAATTGTTTTTGATATTTTCTTTTGAACATATTTTATATGGCATGTCCATGCCAGTTTATGATCTATAATCACTCCTAAAAACTTTATATAATTAACTCTATGTTATCAATTTTAATATCATTATCTATCATTTTATTACTAAACACCATGAATTTTGTTTTAGATAAGTTCAGAGATAATTTATTCAAATCAAACCAGCTCTTTAATTTGTGCAGTTCTCTCTCCACTACCTTTATCAACTGTTCCAGATTTTCGCCAGAACAATAAACATTGGTGTCATCTGCAAACAGGACAAAATTGAAACCATCAGATACCTTACAAATCTCATTAATATAAAGTGTAAAAATAACTTAGGTGCAACACCAAACCTTAGGAAACTCCACAATTTATTCTCTGCAAATTAGACCCTACACCATTCTGCACATACATGACTACTATCCAATATTGCTATTGATTCCAACAGTGGACAAAAAAAATCCCACCATCTTCCTACCTCTTCCAGTTTCTTTCTAAACTTCAGCTGAAGTTAACATGATGTTTTAGCCTTCTCTTATTCAAATCATTGTCCTGGAAGTAGTGTGTCCAATAAACACAGTCCATGGAAATTCATGGAATTTGTACTAAAGAAAAAGTAACTATATAACAGTGGTTCCCAATCATTTTTAGACCACAGCACCCCAAGCCACTCAATCCCCAATATAACAGTATACAGTACATGCATATTATATCTATTTTAGTTAAATTATTTAGGTCCATTTACAGCAGGTGCTCTGCAGATATATACATGAATGTTTAACCTTAAGCAACGAATACAATTAAATAAACAATTTTTAATGGAAACTATTTCTTTTATTTTCTTCAAAATTAAAATGATCTTACATTTGAGGTGTACATGAACAACAAAACAAAAGTCTGCTGATGATATGTGGACAGGGAGTACAACCTGCAGGTGAGTTTCTGGTCCTACATTTATGATGTCATGAATGCAGAAGAGAGCATGTGCTGTTGAGCATTGCTGGACATCCACCTTCCACAAGTAGCCAACTTAGTGTTGAATCTGACTTTGGATTCATTGATGAGCTCAGAGTCAGTCGTATCAGCATTTCTTTGAGCTTCTGTCTACATGGTGTGTGCGTGTGTGTGTGTTTCTTTGGATTAACACAAATTCTTCAGTGGTAATGGCTTTGTCTGAATTTTTCTTTTACGTGTAAATGCTGTAAGGAAAAATGTATGTATTTGATTTTGGGGAAAAACTATTGGATTTGAAATTTTCTCTGTTTGAAAAGACTTGGACCAAAACCCTGCTGTTTTGCAATTTGCTCTCAGTACAAAACTGTGTGATCAAACTGGGCAGGATTGTTTCAGAGGCTTAGTGTTGACTGTGTTTTTCAGCATGTCTTACCTTTTGCTTGACTGAAAACAAAAAGCAACAACAAAGTGTTTGATTTTTTTTCATTACTTCAATAAATGGCTTGGTTTGCTATCTTTTGCCACTGTTTTTTAAGTTTTAGTCACTTAAAGTAGAGAATGAAAAGCCCCTGCCATCAAGGGTATCCCAGTTTATTTTTACAAAGCTGCTGGATCTACACTAGGGTTGTCATATTTTCTGCATCTGTTCTATGAATACTCCTCAACCACTCTAATGCCATTACAAAATCAAATCAGTATGTATACTAGTGTATTTTGCAGGCTCAATAGGAATTGAGCTTACGCTGGTATGTACTGACTCCAGATATATACAGATATGCAGCACTGAAAAGTCAGACACTGACAAAGGCTTCCACATTCTCCTGTCTACTCACCTTTTATATGACACCAGCTATATAAATTAAAGCATTTCAACCGTAAATAGTGTGAAAACCCCTATTTAATTTAAACTGATCGTTGCAAAATGAGCTTACGCTGGTATGTACTGACTCCAGATATATACAGATATGCAGCACTGAAAAGTCAGACACTGACAAAGGCTTCCACATTCTCCTGTCTCTAAATTTAGGCGGATCAAGTTTGGCATGTGTTTACTTCAGGCATTTCCTGCTGGTTTACAAAAATAGATTCAAATTCACTGTGGCTATATAATAAAAACACTTCTTGTGGCGATGTGAGCACACGATCTAAATAACAATGAATTGAACACAAAAACACACAGACGAGAGGTTCAAACTTGCTTGTGTTTACTGAAGAAGTCTGTTTCTGAATGATTCTCTGACAAAGGAGGGGTGGATTCACATAGTCATTCAGGAGGCTGTGATAATACTCTCATCTGATTGGTTCAAGAGGATGCCCTCTTCTTCTTAAGGGGGTCCTTGATGTTGTGGGTAAAAGCTACCTTTCCCCAGAATCATTTTAGTCATCAGTTGTACCTCAATTCCTGTAAATCTATTCTATAAATCAACTGTAAAGCAAATTCTCTTCCCTTGTGCTATGTCCCAGTAAGTTACTGTAGTGAGCTAAGGCACCTGCAGACATACAAAGATGGCTGCTACACACAGACATACAGTATCAAGTGTCAGGATCCCTGTTTTCTCCTTGTTCCTGCTAATGCCTCATGTCTTATCCACTTTTTTTTATCTTCTTAAAGCCTTGGTTTCTTTTGCTCAGCTGCTTTAAAAACCTTTATTCTGGGTTCTTTGCCTTGTTCGTAGTGCATCCAACCACACAGTTGCTTTTACGCATTGTTTTAGTTTTTTAGAAAAAGACTGAATTATCAAAGAGGGGCCTTTACCTAATATAAAGTCAATAGAGAGTGAGGAACTGTCCCACCCCTCACCCAGTGGGTCTGGTTTTCAGGGTATGCAGACATCCAGACTGATCTGGTAAAAATGCAACTCCCTGCACAGGGGCCTGCATTGGTTGGGGGGTGAGGGGCTGCAGGGGGAGTGTTGTAGGTGTGTAAGATTGTGACAAGTTGAGGTGAGTGGCTTCATTCACGTTTCCAGCTGGCTAGTTTCTGTTGTGTTTTCGTTAGCCATGCTGCTAACGTGGCCTATTCTGTTAGCACCAATTTCTAGCAGTGTGTCAGCACTGATGCATGACATGTCATCATGGTGCGTTATTTGTGGCCCGAAGTTGAAAGTGAATAGCAATGAATGCTCATGCTAAGCAGGTAAACAAAAGTCTTCTTCCCGTGGGCGTCCACATTACGATCATCCCCCGTACGTGATTAGTCAATGCAACACTTCTGCCAGAAGATGTCACCATCCGGTGTGACTAAAGTCGAACCACATCCAACTTTTCCACCTTATGGGGCTGTTGTTTTGCCAGAGCCCGCTGTGCTGGCTGTGGCAAACACAATCCCCCAAAGAAATGAATAGCGAGAGCTGCATTTTTTTTTTTGTTGAGTTTTCTTCTGTAATACCATAAAGTCAAAACTTCACTATGTCAAGTGCCCTGATATGATTGTTACAAAGAAAAAAGAACTGAAGTGAATTAAAAAAAGATCAGAACGCTACCAAAGGGTATTATCACAAATTGTTTTTATTGTTGTAGCATATTGACAAATGCATTTGCAATTAATTTAACACAAAGTAACTGCCACACCGACCAACCTTGGACCTTTGGGGCCTCTGAGCTTCTAGGGCCCTGGGGTACTTTTTCTCTTTGCCTGGTTGATAATCCAGGCGCCTCAGTGATGCTGACAGATTGAAGCAGAGCAGGTGCAGCCTCAGTCTGGCTCTGTTCTGCTGGGTGAAGCTGCTAGATGGAGCTGGGTGCAGTACTTCAGAGGGACGTCAAGACCCACCAGAGGACCCACCACACTAAGCCATGTCAGTACATAGTTCAGTGGCCTGCCCAGACAGACACACACAGTAAGTACTCTGAACATAAAAGATACCGTATCTAACAATATTGTTTGGGGTGAGGAACACAAAATATCATTTGATTGATGTATCTTTTGCTTGAACCTAGAAGCCAACA